TGCTTGTTTCAGGGTGGTAGGAGCTGAATGATCTTTAAGATCCCTTCCAACCCAAACCATTCTATGATTCTACGTGCATCCATCCCATGACCAGCGAATAGCTGGGCTTTCTACTCCAGGCATAGTAGGTCCTGCTGCCCAGCTCACTCCAGGACAACTCAAGGAGACCTCCCCAGTCCCTGCTCTATAGAGCCCTATCTGAACAGTGTGTGTAACAAACAGTGACAGATTTGGGACTTTGCCCACCCTGTCCCTGGGGAAACAAGCACACAGACTTGGGAATGAGCTGGTTGCAAGCACTCCCCTCCACAGCCATGCACAAGCTGCTGCCCTGGGTACTTGGCAATTTTGGGTGGAAGTACACCCGCTGTATGAGATAAATGTCTCCAGCCTGTGAGGATCCAGCAAGTCCTGATCTAGTGTTGGCTCCGCTTTGAGCAGAGGTTGGACTAGGAGATGTCCAGAGAAACTGGAGTTTATATAATCCTATAACGATGATCTATGATGCAACTGTTGCTAGGTCAGGTCTGTATCTCATCCATCCCCAGTTCTTGGCTACACTGATGAGCTTTTCCGAAGAAAAAATATTAATACATTTTTTTAAAAATCATGTTTTCATATCTTCCTGGCTGCACTTACAACATTGAAAGAGTACCTCCCGCCAAGCACCGTTATTATCCACCAGAGCCCAATAGTTCCATGCATTTTCAGGAAAGATCTTCCTAAAGGTCCCCATGAGCTTGGCTTGGCTGGAGGACAGCTGGCCCCTGCCCAGCCACACACTCAGCCGAGCTCCACGGACCTTACTCAAGTGGTTGTGCTGGTCCCTGCCAGCTGAAGATTGGCCTCAGTGGTGACCGAGGGCGCATGCAGAAAGGATGATTAAAAAAATCCATCTCTTCTTCTTAGCCATTACTGTGAATAGATGATGTGTGTCAGCTGATATATCTATTTCACATCCCAGGGCTACAGGGACCACCAGGGACAAAGGGAGACCAAGGAATCCAAGGTAAGGCATTTCTGACACCTGATTTACTTCTGTGGATGAACATAAAGTGACTTTATGGATGATTTTACGGGCAATCTTGTCCTCAGTCAAGGTGTAAGTCAGTAGGAATGTCATTGGAGTTGAAGGAAATAAGCCTATGTAAAACTAATATGAACAAAAGCAAAACTTAGTTGGAAAAAATCTTGTTTTAAAAGTCAACGTGCAGCATATATGGTGGGTCGACACCACTCTCAAGTACATGGAGAACAGAGTGTGGTTCATGCCTGCAGCTGAGCCATGTGGCCTGGTGCTGGCATCCACTAGACATGACACCCAATGAAGCATCAGAAAAGTGGTGTTGTCCTTGCAGGCTTACACGGATTGCAGGGTGAGAAGGGGAGTAAAGGCGATCCTGGTCCTGCCGGCCCAAGTGGTGAACCAGGAGTGAGGGGAGAAAAAGGAGAGATGGGGCTTGCAGGTAAGACTTCTTCACTATCTCAACATTTTTAAGTTACCCTCATGTATTCCTGTTTAAACCTGTTCTACATAAAACACCAGAAGAAGTGCTCATAGGTCAGATATTTTATAAAAATCCAGCTAGCCAGTCAATGAAGGGGCTGGATGAACGGGACACATGCCCTGATCTGAAGGGATTTCATTTTTTTTCATGCTCCAGCAAAGCTCCCAAAAGAGGGCTGGGAGAAGGGGATGTGCAAAACGTTGACTCTGCACCATGGAATTTTTTTTATAGGTAGACCTTTGTCTAACGAAAGCCAAAGGTATCCAATTATCAGTCTATCCTAGTTTAAAGTAGCGGTGTTTGAAGCAGAATTTTCACGGTATAAAATAATGCAATATAATTTATATCCACAAGCATGTGGTTGTTAGCCCTCACTTGAGTAAAATCTGTTTCTGAGAACTTCGTATCTTATATAAGCCTGACTTTTACACACCTAAAGTAGAAGAGCTGTGCACCATCTTTCTCCCATGTAACATGCTTCAGTGGACACCTGGATGGCTTGTATCCAGTGGTCTCACCAGGGCTGCACCCAAAGAGAAAAGACTGAAAGCAGGATAGCAAAAGAAAGCAGGAGACTTGTATGGTGCTGACCAGAGAATGGTCAGACAGGTTGATTAGAGCTTCGTCAGATCTTCCATCAGATTCCACATGCTCCAGTGCACTCATTAGCACAAGCTGCTTCAGAAGAGAAAAGTGAAAGTAGGAGGAATATGGAAAGGAGAGGACTTTGGGATAATTCCGGAGCAGAAAGATGGAGATGTGACTCTTTAAATGAGGTACTTCCAAGTAATTCAGCTCTTTTGGAACATGTTTGATCACCTGTTCAGAGAAGAGAAAGCTAAGGGGAGATGCAGCAGTTCCCTGGAAGTATAGGAGTGCAATATACTCTCCTCCACCTCCACTGTGGGTAGGAGAAGGGAAGGGTTCAGGCTGCAGTAAGGGATATTTATCTAGAGAAGAAAATATTCTAGTGGTAGGGACAGTTTGGGGATCAGACTGGGAGGACATCATGACACCACTGCAAGTCTTTCCAGCAGGTCAGACAACCACCTGGCCAGACAGTCTGGCAGAGACAGAGGTGGATCAGACAGGTTATTGAGGTGCCATCCAGCCCTGCCTTCCTACAGGAATGCTACTAATGGTAAATGTGGGTGTGAGGCCAAGCTCTGCTACTGGTGAAGCCAGACAGAGGTGTCCCACTGGCTGCAGAAACAGCAAATCTGGGTTTTTTTCTAATTTACTCACATGTGCTGTGCTGTTTGGTAGGTCACCAAGGACAGAAAGGCGAAACAGGCGAGAAAGGAGACCCTGGGCCCCGTGGACCCATGGGTCCTCAGGGACAGCAGGGAGTTCCAGGACTGCCGGGTTTCAATGGTAAGTGCAGAGGCCGCAGCACAACTCACCGCCAGCACACACGTGCCGTGGTGGAGGGCTGCCCTAGCTGGAGCATTTGGCTAAGCCTTGTCATCACTGATGGCAGGATGTTGTTGCAGGTAGCATGGGGGAGCCTGGACGTCCTGGGCAGAAAGGAGAGGCAGGTAAGCAGTACAGAAGGTGTAGTTTCTTCTAGCGCTATGAAACCAACCTCTTTCAGATGGTGCTCCACAACAAGGAAAACTGCAGCCAGGCTAGGTCGCAGCATGGGTAAGAGAAGAGAAGACGACTGTTAGATAAAGAAAGCGTGCCTGCAACCTCAGCTGTCTCATCTGGATCCCACTCGTGTGCAGGAGAATGAGAGGTCAAGAAGGGTCCTGTACCGTGGAGAGCCATGTCTTCCTTCCTGACACGTGTGCACATACAAGGGCAGAAATTGTCTGCTCTTTTAGGAAAGCACTTGTGCTTCTCAAAGCTGACGGTCTGCAAGGACCCAGGTCCCTACAGCCTTTCACTCCAGACCATCACCCTCTGCACCACTAAGATCAGTGCTGCCAGGGGACGATTGCAATTTGGAGACACCTGACATTTGTTTCACCTTCATAGGGTCAATTCAATCTGTACAGTGCAGGCATCAGTGACTGAGCTGTCTTTCTTTTTTCTCCTTCATGTATTCTGTTGCATTTCGCACGTGCTGCTTTTGCTCCACCTCAAGGTGTCACCGGACAACGTGGACCTGTGGGAACTCCTGGCCTCGAAGGCAGACCTGGTCCAAAAGGGGAGAAGGGGGACCAGGGGCCCAGTGGTAGTCCAGGTACAATGCTACTCAAACCTACTCACTGACCTCCTGCTCTGGCCTCACTTTGCATGATGGCTTCGTCCTTACTCGTTTGTTCTCCATTTTAGGAATACCAGGCATCGCAGGACCTAGAGGTGAAAAGGGAGACACAGGAGGAACAGGTAAAGGAGAATAAAACAGGTTTGGGGTCCAGAATATGCATAATACGATAGGTTGATGTTCTGCAGTACAAGCCTATTCTGGTGTATTCCTCCCGAACCAACCTTTTTAACCCTGAATTTACACAGTGCACACAACCTCTCATCTCCATCAGGAGGTGACAAAGGTCCAAGTGCTGCACACTTCTGCATTCATTGATACCTGGATGACAGGGAGAGGAGTCACTTGGCCCAATATTATGTGCTTGCATATGTCTAACACACCTAAATTTATGTGTCTAGGCTCTCTATACAGTCCGTGAAGACCCACGTGGAGGGAGGGTCTCTATCCCATCAGTGGAATTTAGGATATTAAATCAATGACTAGAAGCTGATCTACTTCAGGAGAAGACAACTCTGTATTTTGTGTATTGACAAGGTCTGCACTAAGTATAGCAGGAAATAAGACTCCCACTTCAGAAACAGATGCCTGTAGTGTAGACAGCTAAACTGGACTGGTTGAAAGCCATCATAAATACTAGCTTGCATAAGCTTTTATAAATCTATAAATACCTGTCTTACATATTTTTGTGTGTTTGTTTTGATGATCTCAGGTCTTCCAGGGCAAAAGGGAACAAAAGGAGATCAGGGCCCACCAGGTAAAACCTTGTTTGAAATCATGCCTTATTCTGATGGTGCAAAGCATTTTAAACGGCACATTCCGCTTCTCCGCGTCAATGTGAAATGCTTATTACACTCTTTGCTTGGGAAGGGACAAAGGCAATGACTGTCTTGCTTTCCACCCAGGCACCCCAGGCCAAACTGGTGAAAAAGGAAGCAAGGGTGATTATGGCAGTCGTGGTCAAAAAGGTGACCCAGGAGTAAAAGGAGCCAAGGGAGACCGTGGATTCCCTGGTAAGGCAACAGCCACGGGGACTGTGGAGCTGATGGTGCATTTGGGTTTGGGACTGTATGTCACAGACTGGCACAAGCCACACTGGGACGTTTACAGAGCTCGTATGGAGGAACTCAACAGATAGATCAATCTTCCCAGAAGATGAATGTGCAGAGTGTCACATTTATACTTGGGAGTTGTGCTAAAAGACATGCAAGTAAACAGATGCGTTAGATTTCCTCAAATCCCCGATCTCACAGAAAACTGGAATAATCCATGGTCCTCTTTGCTTTGTACAGAGACATCTTGCAGCATACCACGCCATTGCAATAAATCCCATGCAAACGTGGCAGTCAGGAACACAGAATCAGAAATACCAGGGCTATTTAACCACACCTTGTTAACTGTAGGACACAAAAACTGTTCAAAAGAGCCAACCCTACAGCTGCTTCCCATTCTTGCCACCCTTCCCTCTAATCACAGAATGCTTCCAAAAACTCTGAGACCTGCAGTAAAAAAAACCACCAAAACCAGTAATTACAACAGGCCACAGGAAGCAAACAGTGCTCCAGATGCTTTTTTCTTTTAATTGTTTACACTGAATAGTAAAAGTCCTCACAAATAAAACAAACTGGAGCCTATTTGAGACTACTCCATGCAGTCCCCTTCTGGAGCTTTGCCTCTGGAGAAGGAGAAAAGCAGAACTGGGGTGGCCCCAGGTTAGGGACTGCCCTCCAGGTGGGTGTCAGCTCCTGGTCTGCAGAAGGAGATGACAAGGTGTGCTTTGTGGAGGCAGCTTTTGGGGGAAGAGCTCGTTGTGTTTTTTCAAGCACCCCCGCTCTCAAGACCAGGATGCTGCACAGAAATATGGAGGACAGTTAGGAGTGGCTTTCTGCTGTCCCATGGCCGCACTTAGAGAGCAAATCCCATGATGTAGATCTTCCTGCAAATTCTTTGGGAGACAACATGCCTCCTTCTGGAGGGCCCAAAGGCTATCAGAGATGTCATTGTACAGGTAGTAGTGGGAATAAGATGCATTTCCCACAAGTGAGTGGATGGGATTTTGCAAGTGGCCCTCTTCTTGGGTCACATGTTAGGAAGACTTTGCTGTATGTCATCCTACTTTTCTTGCCACCTTTCTTTTACGTACCCTTAGTGACTTCAGAGGGTCCATTCCACAAGGGGGTGGAGCCCTCGTATCTCTGACTCACCCAATTATTCAGAAAAAAATTAATAACTGGATTTCCCCCCAGACAGCTGTCAAATGTTTGCTTGGTTTTTAATTTGGAACAGGTTCCCCAGGAACACCAGGGAGCAAAGGTGAAAAGGGAGAAGGTACTGGACTTTTATTTCTTCTTCTCTCACTTGCTTTCTGGCATCGATGCTATCTGAGATGAGGACCAACATCCCCCGCTGTGCACACCGGTTAACTGGCAGCGCAGCTACCAGAACAGAGGGGTCTGGGTGCTGAGCTCCAGCCTGGTGTCTAGAGACCCAGGACAGAGCCTTGAGATGCTCAGGTTTGAGCTACCAGTAGCTTCTGGTCCCAGCCTGTCTGGCTACAGCTGTGCAGATGGGAACGTTTTTCTGGTTTGGGAGATCATTGCTTACATCTTTCAATATGCTTTTTTCCTCATGCCCGTATGACCTGTAGAGTTATTTTCTTCTCCTCTGAACTGTCAGGAAACTTCAATCTTTTTGTACGCATCGCGGAAGGGGGCAGGAGGGGCCGCGTGGAAATCTTTCACCAAGGGTCCTGGGGAACCATATGTGACGACGGCTGGAGCACCCAAGACGCCACTGTGGTTTGCCGAATGCTGGGATACAACCGTGCGGTCTCCGCTTTCACAGCTTCAGCCGGTGAGTCCACAACAGCCTTCCAGCCCCCTGGGCCAGGCCTTGGGGCTTGGGGTGCGTTACCTGCCTGGCACAGGAGGGACAGGGCAATGTCCTCCGCACCAGCAGCAGGAGAGCAAAGAGGATGTCCCCAAAGGGGCAGCTCATTCTGCTTGGGATGAGGGAGCTGCACATCAAGTGCTGCTTGAACTGTGCCCAAAGGCTTGATTTCCAACAAGCCAACCATGCAACCCAGTGCACGTGCAACCCCTACAGGGGTCTCTTTAGAAAAAAAATGCATATTCCTCTTTATTTTTTCCAACTGATTTTTTGTTTGTTTGTTTGTTTGTTTAATTCATCTTCCGAAGGCACTGGAAAGATTTGGCTTGATGATGTGGCTTGCGCTGGGAGTGAAACTTCAATTTTTGACTGTCCAAAGCCGGACTGGGGGGTGAACAACTGCTCCCACAATGAGGATGCCGGGGTGGAGTGCGTTTGAGGGGACACACAGGCTGCCCTGGGAGCTGCTGCCAGCCTCTGCTCTCCATGGGGCTCTTGTTCATAACATGAACCCAGTTTCCTCAGGCTGTGCTTATAGTCTCTTTAACAGGTCATAAAAATATTGACAGAGAAATGTGAATTTTCCAGAAATCAATAATGGTTGCAAGACCCACAGGTAACCTGAAACGTCTCAGCAGTCACAAAACAACTGAAGCTCAGGGACATGAGCCAGCTCACAGCTTTTCCAGCTACCTGACAGCAGCTCAGCTGCAGCAGCCCACTCGTGTGGGACCTCTAAGTCCCACAGGGGAGGAGAACTGGTCCCCTTTAGCTTAGTGCAGAAAGAGAGAGCAGGATAAGCGTGCAGAGTCGAGCAGTTACTGCAGCTGAGCTGGCCTAGTCCATCTTCGTCACAGTTGTGAGTCTGAGCCTAAAACCCCCCGTGAAGTGCAAACACCCAAGGCAGGAGATGCTCAGAGACCATCAGGTGATCTCTCTGGATTTCAAATATAAATGTTCTCCAGAAATGATGCTGATCACAGGTTAAAATACAAAGATAAGTGCCTGGGATCTAGATGCCTCACTATCCTGGTTTAGCACAGACCTTGTTTTTGACCTGTTCCCTGCCTTCTCTGTCAGTGTTTCCTAGTCTGTCCTCAGCAACAACACCCTTACCTTATCTGGTGTATAAAGCCAAGTGTTTTCACACCTTTGGAAACCAGGTGCTCCAGTAAGGCAAAGGGGTAATGAATAAAAGCAATAATGGGGAAGTATTAGCTAATTAAATTTTCAGAGTGAAAATACAGACCCTAAACCAAAGGCTTCTAGATTAACTGAAAGTCTTATTCATGTCTGAGATAATAACTCAAAAGCTTCTCTTTCTTAAAGCTTAAGTCTTCCCTTTTTCCACCTGCACTGGGCATTCAGCCTGTGTACATGTAGCTGGGCACATCACAACCTGCTTGTGGACATTTTATTTAAAATGTCAGGAACACATGTAAACAATCCCACATCTCTGCCTTAATGTGAGTCATAATTGCCTTTAGGTACAGAGCTTTGAAACTCATTTTTAGTGCTTAGAAACCCAGCTATAAGTGGAAAACCATAGCAGCGCTGGTAAAAGCAGCAGGTGATAGGGCATCCAGGGCCAACATGAGTGAGATGACCCAGCAGTGTGCAGGATGTGACAGTGCAGCTGGCAACAAAGCTCATCACCATTTTGAACCAGAGGAAATGTTTGTTATGAGGTCTCAGGCCTCAGCAGACAAGTCTGGAAAATCCCAAGAGTTTTCCAGTATCCACTTGGATGCATTTGACATCAGGAAAATGAAGAGAGACACTTATTTCTGGCTCTGGTTTAGAGGAGGCAAAGAGCTTCTGCCACAAACCATGTGTGAAACCTGATGAACAGCAATTATTTCAAAGTTGGTGGGAAAGGACAGTGACTCATCTGCACGAGAAGAGACAAAAGCTTTCTGTTCCGATAAGGAGCCCCACCAGCACCAACAGCACGCTGAGTAACAGCGCTTGGGCTGACACAGCTTTCCACAGGGCTCCCACGGATGTTGCTGAGCCTGCAAGGGTTTCTTTATTTTTGTGTGTGTGGCAGTATGTAAATAAAGCATTTCCACTGTTAGGAAATAAATATAAGCTGTATTCTTCTCTTGATACTTCAGCATGTGGTGCATATTCTCCCATATTCTCACTTTCCTCATCATTTTTCAGGCTGAGACATTTGATTTTTTTCATCAGGCAAAATTGCCATCGAAGGGAAAGCCACCATGTCCCCAATGATGACCCTTTGGCTGGACCTAAATTCCCATAAATCTCCTTTTTGGAGAATGGGCATCCGGAAAATAGCAGCTGTGCCAGGATTAAGGTCAAGACACCAGGGGTTAGGTCTGCATGCCCAGGGCAAAGGACACCATAGTCCAGCCCATCTGCTCCTAAGCACAGCAGGAACAGGTTGAACCCAAGCTACTGACCAACAGTGTGGCCAGAAACCAGAGTATGGCATGCTTAACCTTCCCTCCTGCCACTTTTTCACCTTGCAGTGCAGAGGTAACCTGCAAAATCTGGAGTCAGAGGATTTCCTAGCAGCCCGGGAGAGCCCATGCCAACACTGAAGGCTTCAGCGCCAAGTACACAAAATGGCATTCAGCTTGCAGGGACTAAAGGGGGATGAAAGGGCTTGAGGTGGCTCAGGCAGGCACACACCCACCCCCCAGCCGATGGCTGCAGGGGCTGGGGAATGGGCCAAAACATGCAGCTGCCTGTCAGCACTGGCATAGCCCTCCATTTGGTGGGACTTCAGGAACCAGTACAGGAACACTCACACCAGTACAGGTCATTCTGGTCTGGGAAAGGGAAACAGGGGGCTCAGGACCAGGACCTGTGTTTATATTACCATGCTGGCAAAACCAGAGCTGGGCAAGAAAACAAATGTTGCCTTTGTAAAACCACTCTGTGTGCCCAGTCTGGTGAGGCAAGCCCAGCCAGCTGGGCGGAGACCTGGAGGCACAAAGCTAACGCAAGAATTAGGAGCACAACCATTTCTGCCTACTAAAGCAGTGTGTGTCTGAGGTGCAAGAGAAGAACCGAGCCCAGCGCAGGGTGTGCCACGTGCAAGAAATAGCATCCATTGGAGGCACCACCGTGGCCAAGTCGTGGTGCCCATGGTTTAACCCTTCCTGACTGTGTCAGTCCCAACAGATCCTCTTGGAGAAGCGCTGCGCAGTTGTGAATAAACAGCAGAGGATGCCAGGTGGTAGCAGCTAAATTTATGTCTGATCCTCTCCTGTCCAAACCAGGGTGAAACCAAAAAGAAGTCCTAATGTCACCAAAGCAGGAAGAAATTCTGCCCAGTTCCCGTAAGAGGTAGATGAGCTGAAGGAGTCGTGGAGGCTGTGACACTGTTAGGCTGCAGGCTCCCTTCCCACGAGAGCCAGGACTCCAAGCACCAGAAATAAAAATTTGAAGTCCAGTTTTAGCAGATTCAGAAGTTCACACTAAATTCCACACTTTTAATTCAAATCACAGCAGTCTATGGGCACTCCTCACCTGGTATAAATTTCCATGTTCGCTGCTATGTGGTGTTTTGGTGGAGGTAAGGAAAGCTCTTGTTTAATTCCAAATAGCAAAAACAAAAACAAAACCAAAAAAACCATATTTTTTTTCAAAACCACTGGATAAAACTAGTATGGGGACAGCCAGGCACAAATTATCTTCATGTCAATTCTTGTGTCAAATAAAGGTTTCCCAGCAAGGGCCACGGCTGGACGTGTAGCTAACGGGGTGCCACTGGGGTGATGGGTCCTGCGGTATGAGGCCCGGGTACTCCCCCAAATAACCCAGCAGTGCGGAACTGCCGGGGAGTCCTCTTCCACGGGCGACGTGTATTTATTAAAAATGCTCCTTCCCGACACTAAGGGGAGCTCAAGGGCCGCCACCCGCGCCGCGGCCACCGCGCCGGGAGCCCCGCGGTGCCGTCGGGATGGGACGGGATGGGATAGGGGGACGGAACGGGGTGAGGTGGGGTGGGATGGAGGATGCCCGGCGCTCCTGCTGCCCCTGCCCCGCTGTGCCGGAAGGCTGGGGTTCAGACAGCGCATCCCTCTGTCCTGCTGCTTTCTCCCACGGAGAACTGTCGCTCCTGCACATCCCAAGAGCCGGAGGGTGGCAGCGGCCAGGGAGTCCCGTGATGCCCCACCTGTGTCAAGGGGAAGAACAGAAATGTGTTTTAATCTGTTCAACAGACTGACGCACACGCAGCGAGACCTGAAACCCGAGAGCAGGGTGCTCAGTTTAAGGGGGGGTGAGGCAGGTTGTGGTGGTCTCCCAGACTTTGTTAGTGGTCAACCAGTCCTCCCAGAAAGGGACTCTCCTGGTTCATGGGAGACTGCCAGGTGTTTGGGACAGGTTTACAGGCTTTTATCTTCACTCTTAAAAGCTCGAAACACTCTTTTTAAGGCAAACACACAGATTTTGCCAGCATGTCACAGGTGTCCCCTCAGAGGGACAGAGGAGGAACAGCTGCACGGCTCACCCCCAGCCTTGCCACTGTGAGGGCAGGACACAAGTCACAGCAGTGGCACTCAGAGCCTGAAACCCAGCACCAGGCCCCCATGGCAGCAGGTTTGGAGGGTGCACATTCCCCACGCATTCACTTTGGTCCAAAGGAAGGTCCATCAGGGCAGGAAGAGTGCTGCAAGTCACTGCAGGATAGTTGCTGAGCAATGACAAAACCTCTTGCCTCTATGGAAACGGGCAGTCCTGAGATACAGAGGCTGGCTGGCATGCCCACGCCACCTCCCTTGCCGATTATCCAGCTTGGTGCTATCTGACCCCGGGTTTTAAGACTCTCAGCTAACCATCCTACACTGCCCTACAACAGCTATCTATAATAGCTAATAAGGAATTGTGCAGCTTTGCTTATCATTCACTCCCAGCACCAATTAAAAAGATTTAGTTAAGCAAAATGCAATTACACTGTCATGGATAAAAGGGATACAATTAATTAAAAAGGAATGCTTTCTCTTAGGATTGCTGTTATTTCCAGATGCTCCCATCCCTGTCCCTGACCACTGCTCACGATCTGAAGAGATTTGGGGAGCGGGGGGAGAACTGGGGGGTTTGAGTAGTTTGTCTCCCCATCTTGCTGACTCACATGTATTTCTGAGGTAAGTTAGCAAGACCCTTGAGGACACTAATCTTCTCCAGAGCCCTAAAACATAATTTCCAATATATCTGACACTGTTCTCCCTGCTTTTCTAAGGAGGTGAACATTTCCCAGAGGCTGTCTGGCACCAAGCTGGGACTTCTCTCCTTTTGGAGAGAAAACTGGGCTTTCTGTCAGCTGTGAAGGAATGGGAAGCAGCCAGAGATGGTGGAACACGTGTTGTGGCTGGAAGGATTTACTAAAATCCACAGAGAAACAGCTGAAGGTTCCCGTCTGATGTCCCTTAGGAAGCAAGGGGATGCGTGCCACCCCTCCCAGTC